TTCACTCTCTCTCTGGAGTTTCGTGTAGTTTTGGGTGTTTCATTTTTCATTTACTTTAACTGCAGTTTGGCACTTTCACTTTCATTTAGGAATGTTTCAAGTATTCCCCCGTGACAAACAAGATATTGGATGCAAGTATAAACTGCTGGAAGAGTTTAGTTTTAATCGAATTTGACACCGCACGCCGCATGGGAAAAAAAATCTCCATATTTTGCGATGCAGGTGTCTGTGCCCTTTACTGACTCGGAAGGTGCAAAGAATAGTGTCAGACAGCCACGGGTGTATAGACTAATGCGGCTAAAATCCTACACGATAGTAATTGTTCGTTTAAGATGTTTACATGTCTGTACTGCACTTCAATAATGCGGCTAAAATAGGAATACTCCACATGCCTAAATTTGATTTCTGTTTAGTTTGATTATAACTTAAGTTAGATTAAGGTAATCAAAAATCACTGTTTACATAGTAGACTCGTAATTAGAGCATTGTCTTTTTCATATTAAAATTTCATATTAGGCTTAGGGAAAAAAAACTCTTTAATATGGAAAAGATAGCTTTCATCATTTTTCGCAGTGTCTCATTGTGAGTAGTTAGGACATGCAATTTAAGTGGTAAATTTGTAAAACATTAAAAAACTAAATTGTTAAGCCCTGTGATTTATGTGATGTGGAAAACACAGACAAAATAGTAGAATCCAGAAAGGAAATCTTAATTAGGACTGTTGAGGATGTCCTTAAACACCATTATTGTGCTCACATGCGCAACAGAAATAACTGTGATTGCTCTGAAGGCCATTGCTTTTTGAAAGTGTTTGAAAGCTGCGTCTATTAGCTGATCTCTCAGCAGATCCCTTATATGTCTGCTCATTGATGGATTAGCTGATGGACTTTCAAACCCTCAAGTGCCTGTGTATCTGTGCTAGTGCTGGGTAAACAGCAGTGAAGAGTGGTAAATCGACAACCTTTAGTCCTATTTGTTGATAATATGAACACAATGGCCAGTGCGTGGTGTTTAAGAACTACTCAACAGCGCTTACGTTAATGAGAAATAAATTATTTACTTTAATTTATTTAGTACCAATTGGTATCAAAATCGATACTTTTGACAAGACTAACACTGACTAGTTTCTAAATATTGAACTGCAAACACACTTTTTAAATATACTGTAGAGTGATTTTGTGTATGTGTGAATGAATGGTGTGGTTTGGTTTCCCGGAGCAACCTTGACAGATGCTTGCCCATGGTGTACAGCTTTATTTGAGAAAAACTTCAAACAAAAACAAAACTGCTCATTTATGACATGTACATCGAATGAGGCAGCCAACACATGCCTTAAATATATCCATTTCTTTTAACTTTCAACAATGTCTTAGAAGCACCAGCCTAAACACCCTGTGGTGGCGAGCACATTTGCACCCAAACAAAATCCTGTTTCTGCATAGGCTGGCAGTCTGCATGCTGAGAACTGGATAAAATGACATAACCCAGTGCAAGCAGCAAACCGAAATACAACCTCATGATGAATGTTATGTCATTGCGTCATACAATGAACCCCGATGAGCACCGGACTGTATGACCACAACAGCCCTCAGCAAAACATTCCAGAAGACTCACATTCCCGACACAGCGACCTTATCCCAGCCAGAGCACAAGAAATCTGAATCCTTAACAAGGATACTGTTACTATTCCTATAGCAGAGTGAAAAAAAAAACCCTGTTGCACAACAAACAGACAAGCAGTGAAAGGATAAAATCCAGCGCCATTGAAAAGGACAAATGTTTACACTGAGATTTCCGACGCTACGCAAACAGTATGCATGGCCACATTTTTAAAGAAATGGTATGTTTCTAAATTCCTACTCATCATAACAGCAGCACTCGGTCTTTGAAACTTGATGTAGTAAAATAATTTTACAACTTTTACTGGAACAACTGCTGAAGTCTAAGAGACCAAGTTGAACATCTTATTATTTAAACCAGCAAATAAACAAAGACTTTGCACTATTTATAGATCACTAATTCAATACAAATGTGATGGCAGTTTGAATGTTTCCATGAGAACATCAAAAAACGATCTTATGAAAAACCTTAAAATCTTTAACACCAAAAAAGTCGCTGGACTTTTTGACATTCTCTTGTTGATGCCAACAAAGCAGAGATTACAACACCCTTACAAAAAAAACACCTTACAAATATCCAAAGGCAGCTGTATATTTGTATGCATTGGCTGTTTCATGAGAAAAATGTTACGTGTGATATAAATCCCTCCATAATGAAACACCTTGCTTTAATGTTGCCAAGGAACTTAGGCCAATGAATACAATTAGAGCCTTAGATTTAGAGGCCTTTAACATAAACAATGAGATACCTATTCATATTTGTTATTAATATCATGATTTCCAGATAATATTTTTTAATCAGAATGAAAACATAATATATTTGGTAGAATAAAAGTTCATATTAAAAGTCAGTAGTGTTTGTTAGATTTCCCCCAAAGCACCTCTTAGACCACTGACCAGATTATCCAAATTATTTTGTCAAAAATGACTCAATTGGTCCAAAATTGACAACACAATGTTGTTAGAGGTCAGTTTATCCCACATTGAAAACTCTGTCATCACTCTCATAAACTCAAACAACAAATATCTCTTCTTTCTCTTATCACTACATAAATAAAACTTTGAAGGATGCATAAATATTTATAGTTTTAATTCACAAATGAAAACTGCCTTGAAGTTGACACAAAAAACAAACCTTGAGGCTTTTTCATCAAGCATGCATGTTTGTGCTGCATTCGTCAGTGTTTACATAAGAATAAAAACTTCATTGAAAAACGTCCTCATATACGGTGAATATATCTTTTTAGAACACTTGTATTAAACAGCAAAATTCGTATTACTGTTGTAATACATATTACCTTGCAAATGTTGTTTATATCAATACAAAAAATAAAAACTAAAAGTCTGTGCAAAAAATTATTGATTTCAAAGGAAATTTCTAAGAATTTTTTTTAAATTGACAAATTATGACAGAATTACCCAGCAGCCGCACAACGTCATAAGATGTTAATATTAGGTTAGATTTAGGTCAGCAGCATCTAAGGACAATGTTATTTTAACGTCCTATAATGATGTGAATGATGTTGATATTTGATTGATTTTAATGTTGTGTCGGAAACTGACCAATATCTAATGTTGACCCAACATCTTATACCAGCGTCAAAGTGACATCAAATATTGACATTTATTCCATCAGGTATGACAACCAAAATCCAACGTCATATTGGTAACATCCACACAACGTCAAGCTATAACATCATTAGATGTTGATATTTTGTTTGTTTTTTAGTTGCATTGGAAAGTAACCAAAAGGCAATTTCTGTTCGACGTTGGACATTGACGTCAACCTAATTTTCATTTCCAATCAAAATGCTAAGTCCCACGATATTGGGGTACAAAATCAATCTGACGTCATGTTGACATCTGCTTGCTGAGTAATTATTATTTTTATCCTTTTTAATTAAAAATAATTATGAAATATATTATATTATTAAAGAATAAATGTCAAACAATTTTACTAATCCCTTTCCTTTTGTATTTAGAAGATGAGATGCAAACCTACACACCACACGTTTTGCTGAACAATAGAGACAGCTCAATCGTACAAGCAGCATTAATTTAATATACATTTTTTAAAAATCAGACTGTTAATAACATTTATGAATTCATCTCCCAGTCTACTGTGAGCTTATAAACAGTGCAGTAATGAGAGGAAAAATTATCCCATGAAGCAAAATCACACCCTACATCTCTTGTGTATAACAGAGAACGGCCTAGGGATGCAACTCGGTGGAAATGACGTCTTGTAATTTACAAACACACTAACCAGAACACAAAACAAACAAGCCACCGCTACCATTTCGTCTGAAACCAATATTGCCTTGCAGAAATGTGGCAAAGACTTTGAAGTAATAACAATTCCCAGAGCTGCTCTCAGAGTGCGCTTTCTACATCACAACCATATACGACAGCTAGAGCTCACAAACGCCTTTACAGTGGAGGGTTTTATGTTGGTACTCAATATAACGGGCTATTGTAGTTTTCTCCACGGTTATGAAGACCGGCGTATGTGAGCATGTCTGCCCCTAGAGCTGCCGGTGCCTGCCGCAGAACGGGCGTCATGAAACCGGGCTGGAGTCTCGCCACTGCGACGCGCACCTACAGCAACAGCGATAACGCGCACACATATATATATATGGGCCTACGGATATACACACACACACACACATACACACTATTATGATGATTCTATAAATGCACATGCTGGTGCTTTAAACTGGGCATACGGGCGCGTTTGCTTCAGTCGTGTGTGATTATCGATTCCCGCTGCTTTGACTTTTCCATTGGCCTGGCCTTGAACAGGGGGCTGGAGCCTGCCATAAAACCTGCGAGGGGAGAGGCGAGGCGCGTACCAATAACCATGGCCAAAAACATGGTTCGTAAATCGTTCTTATTTAATATTTTATAACCTAATGTTCAAGTGACATTACATGTGAAAGAGACGAATCGAAAGGGAAACCTGAGCAAACAGTTATGTCAGGGGATATTGAGAAGGAGGGCTGCGACCACACGTACGACCCCCGTTTACACCATTCCATCGCAACTGAAGCCAACAGAACAGAACAGCACGAAATGCGCGTCAAAATCGTTACAGCGTTTCCAGGCGTATCGTGTATGTTGCTGTAGCAATGCTTGAACGTTCATTCGACTAATTGTAAGGATAATATTGGGAAACAGTTAGTTGTAAGCCCGTCCGCCGAGGCGCCTATCCGCCTTCTGCTATCGCTGTTTGGGCGAAGCACGTCCACAACTTCGCATTGCAAAACCAATAACACTTGTCGTCATAAAAAAGTGGCAAAAAAAAAATTTAAACAGTCACGGATCACAAATTCTGATGCTCTTAAGTTTAGGTTTAATATTTTGCCGTAATACATCACTCACCTCAGATGTCAGCACCCTCTCCCGTTCTCCTCTTTTTCTGGTTTACCTCTCGTCCGTTCTCCTCCTCTAACGATGTACGATTCGCGAACGAGTCGTTCATTTGAATCGAATCTTTTCAGTGAATTGGTTGGCAAAAATGATTCGTTCCTTACATCTCTACTGATGATGATGATGATGATTATTATTATTATTATTATTATTATTATTATTATTATTATTATTATTATTATTATTATTATTATTATTATTATGACATTTATGTGTTGCAAATAACAGCAACACATATACTATGGCATGTGAATTGTAATAAAATGTTAATTAAAAGCAATGATTTTAATAATAATTCAACAATTACAAGCAAGCCCAAATAAACGAACCAAAATATATGTCTATCATAAAATTATTGGTAATTGTTTGGAAAGAGTTTTGAAAATATAAATGATCTAGGCTGCATTTATTGTACATGTAATAACCTTTGTAGAATTCTGAAAAGGAATAGTAATCAAGTAATTATACATTTTATTTAAAATATTTTAGTTACCAAAAACAAATCTATAAAGTTTGGAATAAATTACAATATTTCTATATTTCTGAAATAAAATAAATCATATTAAAATAAGAATTGCACTATAAAAAAAAAACTAACAAGCTAACAAGTAACATTTACATTAAGTTACATTTACTTTAAATGAATATTAAGAAACCAAAAAGTTACATATCATACTTAATATGAAAATGATATTTAATTAAATAAAATACACTTTTACACAAAGATTGCACTCTTTGAAATAAACCCAGTACCAAAATAAATAGGTAACTATTTCTTCAAAGTGAGGAGATAAGCAGCACGTGTATGAAATATGTTGCACTTTTACAGTTACTAGAAGCCTGAGGCAGTATATATCTTGGCATCTAATCTACATTTAATGTAAGACTGATTACATTTTTGAAGATTTTTTTTAAACAATTATGAAAAAGTGTATATTTTATTAAATTAAATACGTACGTCCATGGCTAAATACAAAAGGTTAAATTCATTACAATAAACACAATACCAAAATAAGCAACTGTTTTCTTCTAAATGAACAGATAAGCAGCACGTCGACCCATTCTTTTATAAATAGGCTACTTTGCTTGTAGAGTTAGAGGAAGCCATTTACTTCCACGTATAACTTCATACTATTACCTGAAGTAAAATATCTGCTGAATCGTTTAAACCTACTCAAGTAGTTCGAAAGAATCGTTTCAAAGAAATGAATCGGACTTCCCATCACTACTCCCCTCCCTTCCAGATGTCGAGCGCAGTCAGCCTTCCAATCCGCGTCTCTCCGGAAGGCCGCGGACCAATCGGCCAGCGGAGCACAGGAAACACATTCCCGGAGAGAAGAGCCAGCACAACCAAAAGTTTGCCGAATGAGAGTCAGTAAGAGAACCGTGCTCAAATCAGGCAGGAATCAACTGCAGCAAATGTAGCCCACACAGACACCTGTTACTTAAAGCGATAATTTAAACATGTCATTTATTTAACGTTAACCTACCTAATAAAAGTTGTTGTTTTTTTAGCTGAAATCTTTGTTATTATAATGAAAAAAAAAGAATAATAACATAAAACACATACAGGCAAAATAAAATGTAATCATGTGTCAATGTGAGACAATTCGGCCTGTCCAACACAGCCTCTACAAACGGTGTTGAGCGCGTTCACTCCATACATAGACAAACTCGCACGTAAAACTGACAGTTTGTTTACCAAAAACAAATGAATATTTATGTTGTAGTGTTTACAAATAGATCCTTTGATTTTTAGAAATTGCAAAGTCACAAAACATTTAAAAGCAGTTATTGTACTATTCTATTCTATTCTATTGTACATATCTACCGTACATATGCATCTGTAATTATGTTCATATCTATCTGCATACCTTTCATTATTAATAGCAAACTGCATATATATATATATATATATATATATATATATATATATATATATATATATATATTCATAGTACATCCATCTGTAATTATCACCATAGTTTTTCTATAATTGCACTTTATAACTTATACCTTTATCCTTTATCCAATATTGCTGCTACTGCACTCCTGGTTAGACCTAAACTGCATTTCTGTCACCGGATGTCAAGGGAGCGAAGACAAGAGGTTGGATCCAAATGCAATTTTTAATGAAAAAGATTATTCGTGCAGGCAAAAACAAATGAGGTCAAAAAACAAGAACTCAGGTATCATGAAGGGCATCAAAAATGCAAAAACAAAGCAATGATCAAAGTACAAACAGTTACAAAACAATCATCAAAACATAACTAGAAAAACTAAACAGGACGACACTCACTGAAACCATACAGGTACTGACAAACAAAGATTCCGCATAGACTGGTGTGTGCAATGTGTATAAATAGTCCAAACAATTGATGATGACGATATTCAGCTGTGTGTGATTAATGGTGACTGGTTTGTGCAAAGGCATGCTGGGATATGTAGTTCATGAATGACATGTGCACTGTAAAAAATTGCTGTTGAAAAACGGTCAGATTCTACGGTAAAATAATGTTTTTTCACTAAAACAGTAATATTCTGTTAAAAACAATGCTTTCTGGGTAACATTTTTGTTTTCAAGAAAGTAACCAACTGCAGAAAACTGTGAGCTAACAGAGTTCAGATTCGATGTTCTGAAGTCTGTGTTTGAAATCACACTTTGTGTCCTTGTTCACTATTTCATACACTAGTTAACTAATATAGTTCACCTGACAGTTTTAATGAACACTAATGAGTGAATTCAGACACTGATGAACACCTGCTGTTAATAATTACAATTGCTGAAGAAAATAAACAAGAAACACAAACAGTGACTTGAGTTACAACATTAAATAAAATCAAATAAAATAAAACAGCTTCAGTCTCAGCAGAGGATCATTAAACAACTCCACAAACAACAGCAGAAACACACTTATTACTGACTGATTTGACTTCCATACTATTCTCATTGAGATCCAACAGAAATTAAGGTGTTTTTTGTGTCACCGTAATGGAGTGAGGGGCTGGTTTGGTTGGGCTCTTCACCCTTGAACTTAGTCATTCAGACTCTCCAATTACTATAATAAAGAATTAACTAAATGCTTGTATTATAGCAATCAAGTTGGAAAGTCAATAAATAGAGAAATCTATTTGTCTGAAATTAGTTCTGATAAATGTTTTGTTATAAATCTGGAAGAAAGGGCCTCATGCAATAGATTTTATGCTTAGTTGCAGGTATTAATTTAATTAATGAGAAGTGGAAACAGAAAAGATACCTCCGTAATTACTTAACAGTTAAGAAATAATATACAAAAACAGTTCAGTTATGACAATTACACACTCAGACCTGATGAATCTGACCTTGTATCTCAACAATGGTAACATCTCAAATGTTTCATGCTGCAATGCATGCTGGGAGTGGCACGGTACAAATATCCCAGCATGCATTGCGGTATAAATAAATGTTGTATAATGGTCTAACAGTTTTCTTTATTTGTGTTTGATTCTGCTTTTGTTTATGTTTCGACTTTCAGTTGCCTGTTTGTGAGTTAAACTGTTAATTTTGTTAGTTTTCAGCATTATTGAGGTTCATATGCTGATTATTGATGTCTGTTTGAGTGCGATTTACACCATAGAGCAGTTTTATTGTCCAAGATATTCTTAAAAACTTCCAGAAATCATTGCCATACAGACATATAATGTAAATCAATAGATTTAACATTGAATAGGAGCAGTAAATGTTATTATACTAAGTGAGAACAGACTTATTCATTTAATAGCAACATGAACATCACCAGATCTTATTTAGGTTTTTGGCTGGCTTGCCACAACAAATGAGCTTTTTAAACAAAGTTCTTAACAATTGCAGCAGCCAAGATATATAAATGTAAAAAATTACAAGGCTAAGAGCCCAACTAAAGCAAACTCTGTTCTCCATAATGGTGGCGTAAAACTTTAGCTTTTTCTTAACAAGAACTTTAGTAAATGTTATACAAAAATACATGTATTAAGTAATAAGTGTAGCTGGTGATGATGTTTGTAGAGTTGTTTAATCATCCGCTGATCATTTAAATGATTTAATCATTTGTTGTTCTTCAGGTTATTTCATTATAAAGCTGTGACTAAAGTTTTGTATGTTCTGTTCTTGTTTTTTCCCTTCAGTATTTCTTCATTTGTTCATTGTTAATCCTCAATTATCATTTAATTAGTCAGTTAATTAATGAATTTACTTCAGCTTTGCTACATGTTTCTTGAACACTCAGTAGTGTGGACACTTCAATTAAAACAGAAGTATATGCTCTGGGGTTTAAAGGGTTAAAAGTGTGAGAGGTAAAATCACAGTGTAAAAATGTATTTTAACAGTAATATACTGTTAATTTACACTACGGAAATAGACTGTAAAAAAACAGTAGATTACCGTCAAATCAAGGAAAAAACAGTATTTTACTGTAAAACCTGAAGCTAATTTCTTCTGTATGTCACCGTTGTGGAGGAGAGTAGAGCCAGTGTATGAGTTAAAGATGAACAATGAACTGCTGATGTTATTCTGCATGTTTCTCTATTTAAAAACATCAGCTGTTTAGTTGCTGATGCAGTCAGAATCTCTCTGGTGATTCCAGATTTACATGCATGTGTGCTGTTGTGAAAAATAAGACATTAGAGTTAAACCGAACTTTTCTAATTAACTAAAATAAGTTATCATTATAAGTATGCTTCTAAGCATATATAGCACATTACTTCATAAACTCATTCAGCAGTTGACCAAGTTGAGGCAGTTGCTTTCAGTGAGCAAAATGAGTTAACTTGAGTATTGTGTAAATCAATGTAGTCCATGTATTTTTACAGCAACATACTGTAAAATAACAGTACATTGCTGGCAACTGCAGCTGCCAGTATTTTACTGTTTTTTAACGGGACAATTTTTAACAGTGTGTAGTATGCCAGCGATCTTTCAGGAACAGATTGCTGGTTATGTGACACATTTCACTGCCTTGTACATGTGTATAGTCAAATATAATATTATACTATATAATTGTATGTACATTGTTATACAAATAAAAATTAAGCCTCACTCGCCATTGGCCTTGATTGTACGAACCACTGACTCGAAGTAAATATTCGTAGATGTTTCAGACTGAAACAAGCCTTAAAAGTGATCATCACTACACAATGTCAAAGAGCCAAGAGGTTTTTGTCTGTTTTATTTTTTAAATCATGTTATTGCGTTATAACGCATGTATAACTTGCGTTTATTCAGCAAGGACCAGTTTCAGCTTTACATCTTGAATGTTCTACTGAAGAACTAAAAACTCCCCTACATCTAACTTGATAGTAAACAACAATTTTTATTTGTTGTAACAAACTACTATCCTTTTAAAATTGATTTATATAGCCTTTGTGAAAAGCTTTAAAAAGATTTTTGGTTAATTTAATTTAGCATGTAGTAGATCTGACGTATTAATGAGTGGATTTCAGCAAAAGTTAGATTAGTTA